CCCACATTGAATGTAGTTTCTGATAAATTATATGCAGGGATATAGAAATGGTGCATTTTCATAAAATATTTTAATAATGAATTATAATTAGACCCCAGATCACTTTATTTATTGACATTTTCTTTACATATCTCTTGTAAAAATCATGTGTTTTGAAAGTAAAATGAACCTCAAATTAGGAAAATGATAGACCATTTAAAAGTTATAAAAAAAACTATTAAAGATATTACTTCACCTTTGTTAAAAACAGACAAAAAAATCATTAAATTCCATAAGAAAATTCACGATATTCATATATAAACATTTTACCACAAGTATTAAAGTTGGTTTAGTTATTTCAAACATTGCAACCATATGACATATAAATTACGAAATCACTAAAATGAAAATTATTTTATCTGCTCAAAATACTCTAGCAAAATTTATTAACCGTTTAATTATTTTTAAAGAAACTAAAATTAGCAGGTTTCTCCGAAAATGTGATGTTGACAGTTAAATTGAATTTCATTTCATTTAAACAGCTATGAGGTATCTTACTTTTGAATGTACTTTTGTAACCTCATTTAAACTCTAAAAGTATTTCATTTACTCGAGTATTAGTTAATGGGCTATTATAAAATGAAGCAAAAAAAAGTTTCGTTTATTTAACTATGGAGAAATGGCCATTACGCAGAGAGTTATTTTCTATACATTTTCCTTTACTGGATAATAAATTATGCGAGAGTTATTGCTACATATGCAAATTTTTTTAAAGTTGATTCATTGGATGTTTTAATTATACCTAAGGCCGGAAACACTTTTATGATTCAGTTTATTTCTCTTTCCAAGGAAAAAAAAACTCATTTATTATTTACGAACGATTCAATTGATAATAAAAGTTGAAAGAGAACGTCGTTGCATTAAGTACAAGAGCGATAAATTAAACTAAAATAATTTTTTTTTCATTATTTCCTTGGTTACCAAAAAAGAACAAAAGTTTTGAATTATGTAGACTGCGTTATTCTAATGTTGCTATTAAAGCAAAGTATTTCAGTCTAGTTTCTTCTAATTGAAAGCAAAAAATACTTATTTCAAGTTTTTAAAGGCCAATTAATTCAATTAAACCTCTAAAATTATAAAATTATGTGAAAAAACAGTGTTCTCATAAATCTAATAATTTAAGATCTGAACAAGTAGCGTAATTCCCCCCCCCCGAAAGTACTTGTGTACTATTGACTATTCAACAAGATAGTTTGAAGCAAGGCTTTCAAAATACTATAGGATTGTATCGCCAAATATAACAATATTTTCATATTATTAGTGTCATCGGTAATAATTAACATTTTAATGAATTTGCTTTTCTCAAAACAAAATTGAAGTTTCGTCAAACTTTGAAACTTTGCTATTGCAATTAAAATTTCGGCAGAGTTTCAATAACAAAAAGATTCAAATCTTGAATGAAACCCTGCATTTGATGAAATTACAAGCGATTCCTTATCACTGCAAGTAGAATTGGCGATATTTTTGCATATGGGAATTTACTGCCATTAAAATATACAGACAGATTTCCCATTTAAATTTTGATACTTAAATTTTGATCTTGAGGACATCACCAGTTAAAGTTGCTCCCTGATCCCTACTAGCAGGAAGTCGAAGTGATAATGCCAAAGTGAATTTACTGACAGTCAAATTGGCATTCAACTTTTAAACAATGAGAATACTAAAACTTTCTCAGGAACTTTGTTTTAGATGACTTCATAAGTCCTTTTGCTGATAGCCACAATCAAAATTAATTGTGTTTTTAAAGTCAAGATGAATTTATTGTCGCAATTCCGAACACTTTCTGACACACTAATACACTTAATATTTAATTAGATTTTACAGCTTTCTCGATGATTTCATAATTTTCAATTGTCCCCTGACCACTACAACGAACAAATAGTGATATATTGTAACTAAAGAGAAATTATTATCAATCATAATACTGACCACTTTCTGGCAAGCTTAAGTTGAACAGGAGTTCAGTACTAAATGACAACTTGCGTATTACAACAATGAGAATTTTTATTGATATTACCGGCAAATAGAATTCTTTAGTCACTCAAAATTTTGCTTAGCAAGAACACTCAAATTTTATCTTGGAGCTCTGTGCTGAATGACGATACTAGTTTCAATTGTTTTTGAGACCTGCAAGTAGAACGAAAAAATGAACAATTAAGAGATATCTATTATGAAAAAGGAAATATCTATAATGTTTCAAAAGTGAAGCTCATCATGTAAGTGATAGACAAGGAAACAGAAGCTCTCCTTGGGAGTGGAAGAACAAAACAAAGACTGAACTTAATCAATTTTTAAGTAGAATTCAATAAAAGTTTAAAAATAACTCAAACGACATAATAATGGACAAAAATGCTATATAATATATATGCTTAAAATTTGCGAAAAAAATAATTGTCTCTTTATGAAATAATTTATAAAAACTTTGTGATAAGCACGAATTCGGAAAAAATGTAGGTAAATGTCAAAAAACATTTTTCAATTCTAACTGTCAAAAACTAGGTAACTGTCAAAAAACATTTTTTATTTTTCATGATCTATTTAAAAATTAAAAATGTAAAGATTAAAAACAATGCAAACGATAATATAATCATTGAAAAAAATGCTAAGCAATCATTATGTTTATAATATCCAAACAATAGTTTTCTGTCACAATATTTTACAAAAGCTTTGTACGAATTCAGTGGAAAAGTAGATTCTGTCAAAAAGTTCTTTTCACAGATAACCTAATGAAGTGCCTCTTTTATCCAATCAGCGCC